AATTTTATGAGATATGCTGAATCATACTCAGCATATTCGTTTTAGGAATCACACGTTGAAAGGTAAGACCTCGTTAGTCCTTAGCTCGCACAAGTTTCTCAACTTCTGAGAGTTGTGGTTCGTATGGGGGCGACAGCTGATTAACGGAAAAAGAGATTTTAAACAGACATCTATATCTAAAAGGTTCTGCTTGGAAAGCATTCCCGATAAAATTAAGTGGCGAAGAAACTCAACATTTACTGTACCAGCAGCCATGAACAATTTATTCGGTTTTTGTGAAGATTTACCTTCTTCGTTCCTCCATAATTCTTCACACCTCATATCAAAAACTAGGGATTTAATGGGCTAATGAAATATATTACTCTATAATGCTTCTTCAGAGGTAATGGTAAAAAAGTTTGACAGAAAAAATTGCGCCTTTGAACTTAATATTCTGTGATCTATTGTGTAAAATTGACTAATTTTACATAAAGGATTATAGGAACATTACTTCCCATATAGACAAGAATATGATGCGAATCAAATATATGAATAAAGCTAAGGTTAATTCGCAAGTGATTGATCCACCTTCTTCTTTTTTAGTGCGGTCAATGGACTCAGGTCATTTTTGCCCCCCAAATATGAGCTGCAGTCCTCGTGGTTCTGGTTACCTTTCAGTGGAAGAGCTTCATGAAACAAGAGCCGAATCGATCCGTCTATGAAACCCTTCATCACTTGGAAGGATCGATTGCAGCTTGAGAAATTGTTCTGATACAGATTCTGTGAAACATGTCCTTCCTTAAAAATCAGTAGACAGTTGTCCTGAAAATCTTGAAAAAAAAAACTGGGTTAGATAATTCAGGAAACACTTGCTACATGAATAGCATTTTACAAGTGTTGTTCATGAGAAAGAACTTCAACAAAGAGGGTTTAACGATGAAAGAGAACGAAAATGTTTTCTACTTATTCACCAAACTCAAACAATTGTTCATGCAGTTGCAGTTTCGAAATAATGTATCATCTTTTCTACCAACCGATTTCCTAGATTCTTTGGAGTCCACTAGATACTCGTTAGGACAACAAGAGGATTGCTCCGAATTCTTAGGGTTATTGTTGAATACTCTTCGTGACCATAAAAATAGCAGAATCAATGCTCCTGACTGCTCTGTATTGAATGATTCCATACAGTCTACCTTGTCTTTTGTTTGTAGATCTTTTGCTGGAAAACTCCTCACTTGTTTACTTTGTAGTAAATGTTTAAGAGGTAGCAAAAACGTATGCAATTTTCTGGAACTTCAACTAGCGTTTTCTAATATGAATGATAACCATTTCGTGCAAAGCTTATTGTCAAATCATCTGAAAATGGAACTTTCAACGGGTGATGATCACCTATATTACCAAACATGCGCCAAACTAACTGACTATTATAAGTAAACAAGTATATCTGAGGCACTAGTCAATCTAATAATGACACTGATGATCTTCAAACATGACTCAACCTCTGACGAAAGTTCGAAATAGATGAGTACTTTAATCTAGCAGACCACTATTATAATAATCATGCAGTCATTGTTTACTGTGATTCTGGCGTTGAATTCGGTCATTGTCACGCATTGTTCAAAGACGAAACGGACTGGTTTAAGTTTGACGATAGTAGTGTCACGTATTATAATTATTATTAAGTGTTCTGGCGAATGTTTAAATTTATTGGAGCCTTTGGAGACACCCTACATTTTGTTTTATGAAAGAGAAGACATTGATAAATCAAGATTTTCAGATGATGTGGTGCTGCAGGTTTTTTCTGGGTTTCCCAGCAGCTGAAAAACCAAATGCGCCACTGGAATCAATGAAGTCGACCTGAAGCACCAATTGATATTTGTTGTTTCATAATTTCATGATTTGTATTACTTTCTTCTGTAATATATGTTTGCATGAAAGTAGTAAACATTAAAGATCATACAAGTATATGTTTCAACTTGAGAAAAATTATTAATATATTCATTGTGTTACATAGGGACCCTCTATTGGATTTGAAATCGTTTACGGACGCCTCTGGAGATGCATTAGCCAAACAGGCAGTGTATAATATAACTAATGGACGACAACACTGATTGAAAAATTTCACAAAACACAAAACGCCTCTGAAAGAGAGAGTATGATTGAATGAGAATCCTCGCTCGCTGTTTCACGGTATCCTTCAAACAGGTATAATGAATGATAAATCCCATTCCCATATTTTGAAAACAAACTGGATTATTCGCGATGGATATTTTCAGCGGGTTTTTGATCTTCCGGGATGGAGGCGATTTTTCAGAATTCATCAGGAAAAAGGGATGATCTATTGTTTTGCTCTTAGTATGAGAATCTTATCAGGTTTATTTGATTTGAAGAAAATAAATCATACATATTTTTTGAAATTGGACCAACTTCTAAATATCAGACCTATGAATAACAGTTATAACAGTTTGATTCCTCCATTGCTGATTTTGGTGAAATGTATAACGGTTCACTTCAATAAAAATAGTATCAAAACTGAAAATGCCGCTTAGAGATAGAGATATCCAAACTAGGAAACCAATATTTTCAATAATTATAGTACATACACTTGGTGTGAAAACCACGTGGTAAATATCAATATTTAAAAAATCGTGGATAAACACATCAATAATAGCTATTTATGATATGACTGTTAAAAAGTTTGCGACACCAGCGTAGCGTGTAAATCAAGAATAGAAACACGTATATTTCTCAGATCATTTGATAGAATATAACATTATCTTCTCGACAATAAAACAAAAGTGATAATCTATTTCTAAAATGCACCACGAGAGCAATTTTCTTTAAATTCAATATGGCACTATGACTTTACACAAGTTGAAATTTCTTACCAATTCACGCACTTTCCATTTTTTCAAGTGCCATTTTTACTTCATTAATTTCGAAAAATGTTATGGAAGGTAGTATGTTTCAAACTACAACTTGTATGCACCCAATTTCTAAAATGCACCACGAGAGCAATTTTCTTTAAATTCAATATGGCACTATGACTTTACACAAGTTGAAGTCTTACCAATTCACGCACTTTCCATTTTTTCAAGTGCCATTTTTACTTCATTAATTTCGAAAAATTTTATGGAAGGTGGTATGTTTCAAACTACAACTTGGAAATGGAAATGGAAGGCAAGGCAAAGGTTCTTTCAACATGGTAAATTAGGATATCATACTAACGCCGTACAGTTCTGTAATAGGTTATATATTCGGTAAAGGAAATATCAAGCTGTTTCAAAAGTTTTGTCCGTTTTAATGTTATTTTCTAGCTACATATCTTAATGAATATTTATTTTACTCTGCCATGATATATACTGATCGATAGAGAATTTTATACTCTATACATTGATGCTGGTCATTTTTCAAAATTTAGATTTTTTGCCTCTTTTCAGCTTATAATTATGTGATTTGTTGCCATCATAAACTAAGGCGGAAGAACTGGATGTCAGCCCCCATGCGATTTTTTATGGTTTAAAACATATTGGAAAGGACAAAAACTTCGAATACTGGGTGCTTCACGATTTGAACAATCAACAGAAATCGTCACGTTTCAAAGTCTGTTCCTCTTTGCTTTCGCGCAACCAAAACGATCTGGATCTGGATCGAACCGCCACGTGTGATCAAAAGTGGATCCTCTACGACAACGTGAGACGTTCAAGACAGTGGTTGGACACCGCTGAGCTATCCAGGCACTTTCCAGAAGGAAAAACTCATGAAAAAAGGACATGGTGATTCACTATAACTTTCTGCAACCGAGTCATACCATCACAACAGGGTCCTATCGTGAGGAAATTAACGAAGTGCACCGAAAATTGCGTCAGTAGCAGTCGGCACTGATTCAAATGGCGCTTATTTGAATTACATTAAATTAGTATTCAAATTAAATCAAATAAAATCAAAATATACTTTATTGTCAGAAGATTTTGTATCCCATCGACAAAGCTTTGTAGGTATAAATATAAGCATAACTAATGGTGTATAGATAAAAACTGGCAATTAATAAAGGTTTTAATGAAACAGGTACAAATACAATAAAAATAAATAAAAAATGGAATACACTTTTAAAATGATTCATTAAAATACTCTTGCAAGCTATAATAGGGTCTATCAGCTAGCAAATTTCTAACTGCTTTCTTGAATTGTACGTTGGTCAGATTTGGAGACCTTATATCTACTGGTAAGTGATTGAATAATTTTCCACCATTATAAAAAA